AGTTATACGAGGGATGCATGGGCGAAAGCAATTCACGCTCGGCTTTTTGACTACTTAGGTAGAAATTTCTTGAAAATTGCCTTTCGTTAAAATCCTATTGGACCTATTTCCAGTTTCCTCTGTGAACAAAGCCATAGAACTTTCCGAAGCTATAGAGTCTTGCCTATCTATTGGAATTCTTGACATCTATGGTTTCGAAATATTCCAGCAAAATGGATTTGAACAATTTTGGTAACTTTGCTCCTTATTTTGTGAAATTTAGCATCTGCCTAGAATTTACCGATTCAGCATCAACTTCGTGAATGAAAAACTACAACAAATATTTATTGAATTGACGTTAAAAGCGGAACAAGAGGAGTACATACGAGAACAGATTCAATGGCAAGAAATTGAATACTTCAACAATAAAATTGTCTGCGATTTGATTGAAGCGAAACGTCCACCTGGTAAAATTTAAAATTCACTTATTGTGAAAAAATAGAGAATTTTTGAATTTTACCTTCTAGGAATAATGTGCGTTCTGGACGATGTATGTGCGCAGAATCATGGGCAATCTGAAGGAGTGGATGCGCAGTTGCTTAGCCATTTGAACAAAACCTTCGCCCAGCATCCACACTATCAACCAGGCGCTGAGGGATTTTTAGTCAAACATTATGCCGGCGATGTAAGATTTTCAAGATTTACAATCCCAACTTTTTCGCTTAAAGTTCCTCTAGACATCTCAACTTATCATTGGGTTTTTCCCGCAGTAGTCCTTTCATCCAAATCTTGCTTTCTTTTTTTTCATTTTTCCTTGTAAAGGCAAACTTTTGTCATCTAGAAATTTGTACCCAGAAGGTCTTAAATTGAATATCAAAGTACCACTAGATCCTCCCTAAGTCTCGATTAATTCATTCATTGCAACCATTTTTCGATTTTTTTCTAATTTAAGCGATATTTGTGAATATTCAATCCAATAGTATGTAACCTAATGTTGCCTCATCCTGCATCCTATTCTTCAATTATATTCTAAACCTCTATCCAAATGGCATCTTATAATTTTCCTCTTTCTTAAGTTTAGTTTCTTTTCTCATACAAAATGTTCATTCAAATTTT